GTACAGAATGGCCATAATCGAATTGTGAACATTGCTTTTATGAGAAGCGACAATGATTAAAGTGCTTTAGTACATCATTTCCACTAGAGGCCGTTTGCTGAAATTCACACTGCAGTAGCTAACCGTGGTTAGTTATGGAACTGTGGAATTATTGATTAATTGTAATAGTTTCAGGACGCACTGCCTCTTGATATTATTTCAATGCTCACATTTATATTAATGAACCATTTCACTTTAGATAGAATATTTAGTGGTTAGTTAGATTATTGATAATGCTATTGTATAAAAATAGACTACGGCAATTAACTACTTAAGTATTAACTACTTGGATTATTTGAAAAGTGTGAAACCATTTATTCATGCATTGAGATATTTTAGTTTTTAGTTATCTCTTGCATTTAAATTGGCTAAAATATATTAAAAAACTAAAATATGTAGGAAAATATTAAGTAATCACCGAAAGCATTTTTGTAACCTAAGAAGACATATATATGTATATATATATATATGTTTAAAATCATAATTATTTTATTTTTTCCTTAAATGTTTACTTGTATTATTTTAAAACAATATAATTTAAATATAAAAATTATACTTTGTGAAACCATTTTCATTTTCTTCATCATAATATTTATACTAAACGGGTAAGTTATAATCTTCTCCTTTTTTTCTTAAATAGAATAACTTCGAATTTAATTTTACGTTAAAGGTTCTATTTTTCTGTAGGGAGGGAGAGGATAATTACAAAAAGAATTTTACACATACACTATTTTAGTTGATAATAATTAAATTCTGAAATTTTAAGCTACGAAAACTGAAAGAAAAGCATTAAATTGAGAAAGGTTTGAGTTATTAGGATAATATAACGATTTTACCTAAAAGGGGACAATGCGGTAAATTTGCAAAAATCAAAATTGATCGAGGTTTGAGTCATTTGGATAATATAATGATTTTACTTAAAAAGGCAGTAAATTTATAAAAATCAAAATTGAGCGAGATTTGTGTTCTTTGAATAATATAACGTTTAAAAGGGGGAAAGCAGTAAATTTACAAAAATCAGAATTATTGCATAAATGAAAACGATTTACATATTTTCAAAAGTAATATCAATCTAATGAATTCTAAAGAGTTAATCAATAATAAAAATTTAGAAACCTTGTGTAATAACTAAATATTTGCTCCTTTAAGCTTTGTAATAATAATAATAATAATAATAATAATTATTATTATTATTGTTATTATTATTATAAGGATAAAAATAATGCGTGTACATGGTAACGTTTCTACATTACTTCAAACTCTAGGCACTGACAGTAGTACCATTAGTGGAATTCCAAATAAATTTGGGGACTAACAAATATCTGTACCAGAAATATGTGTAATTTTTTTTAGCAATATGTGGGTTGAATCTGCCTTTAATACATTAAAGTTTATACTGTGAACAGTGAGCAAAAAAAATATATATGATATCTTAAATTGCGAATACCTAAGGGCAAGAAAGAAAAAATTGTAAATACCTGAGGGTATGGAGAAGATGGTATTATATTTTTATTTGATAAAATGTCAGTTTTAGTTTACTCTTAATTTGTTAAAAATATTCGTGGATTTTTTTATCATTTACTGCAAATCCATTTGTATTTTAAAGCTACGATGAATATTTATTTATGGAAGTACGTAAGATGATAGTATATTAGGAAAAAATTTTCAGAAAATGAAAAAACAACTCCTTTACAAGACTATTTTTGCCAATTCTTTTACAAACCTAATAAATTATGTGGGTTGAAACTGCTTTTAATACATTAAATTTATACTTTGTGAACAGTAAGAAAAAAATAAATATGATATCTTTTAGAAAAATGGTAAATACCTAAGGGTAAGAAGAAAATGGTGTATATATATATATATAACTTTCACTCAAGTATGATATTTTTACTACATGAAATCTTTTATTTAGCCTGAAAGGTCAACAGACTAATAAAAGATTTAAAGAAAATTAAATAAATATACTGTTTTTTATTATTTAAAAAATTATTAATAAATTAGCTCAACTCTCAAAGAGACCTTTATTGTAATACCAACAATATTAAAACAATAGCAAGAGAATTCATGCAAAAATATTATCTATTACAATTTATTTTTTATTAATTAATTATGTTGCTTTTGATTTTAAACTTTAATGATATTGTATTAGGAAGCTTAAAAGACTAAAAAAAAAAAAAAAAAAAGAAAAGGAAAAAAAAAAAAAAAAAAATCGAATTCCTCGTTCATAGATTTTTTCTGTTAACTTCTAGCTAGAATATTTCATCTTTTCTATCAAATTCGGTTGCTTTTCCTTGCAGTAGATAGCTTCTACTTATCATGTCTGTAAAACTTGCTTCATTGCAAAGGAAAGCTGTTTGTAAGAAAGATGTAACACCATGGCTATTTTGATACTTCTGTGATCTAATATTAAAGTTTCGTAAATAAATAAGAGCACTTTTTAGATTATATTTTGTGATTACTTAAATAAGAACCTTTAGTACATTGTTTATCTTTAATTATAAATAAAAATGAGTTATTAATAATTAACTGGCCATATTATTAAAAGTAAAAAAAAAGAAAGATAATGGTATATATAGATTTTGGATAAATCATCAAGTGATTATCATCAAAAGCATCGAGTGATTATCATCATAATTTATCATCAAGTGATTTTCATCAAATTATTGAAAAATGTATTAAAAAAATTAACGATAAACAATTTAAAACTAATTAAACTTAATGGATTTTATTATATAATAAGATCTAATGTTGCTGAAAAACAAATTTATTTGGTGTTTGGTTTATTTGGTTTTTTTTTTTGTGTAAATAACACCTTATATTTTATCTTAAATTTTTTTCCTCAAATCTTAATTAATTTTTAGATTTTAAACTATAAGGTATTTTTTTAATTATAACTTTGTTTAAAGTATTTATAATCACAATGTACTTGATTATTACATAGAATGGAAAATTAATAACATGTATTTCAATACAAAATTTTAATAATATAAAACTATAATATAACATACCACAAGGAAAATAATACACCGATAATATTCAAAGAGAATAATTAATTAAATATTTAAGTTCAAATTAAAACAATTAAACATTTAAGTTCATATTCCTATTTAAACATTTAAGTTGAGATGAACTTTTATAATTTTGATTAAATTTTAAATGGATATAAATAAAAAAAACACATTATCTATACATTAAAAAATTAATAAAAAAATTAAATAAAAGATATTTCATACTTATAAACGATGATTATATTTTCTGATTAGAAAATAATGACAATGAAAACAAATAATGAACCTGTTACAAAAATATGTACGTATTATCGTCTGTATTTGTACAGTTGAAATTCTACTTTCACAATTGCTACATGTTTCTTTAATTGATTAATAAATAAAGAAAGAAAAAAATTGCTTATTGAAATAAAATTACTTATGTTTTCCTTTACACGTGAGTTAAATGTAGTTATAATTTTTTTTTTTTGTACATTCTAATAATTTACGTAACTAATTTCTGACATTATCAACGACAATATGATTCTGATATTGTTAAGAAGGTACATATCGATAGAGATGTTCTTAATCTCTAAAGATAATTAAAATTAATTTACTATATTAATAAGAGTTTCATTTATCATAAAACGTTCATTATTCTTTAAAATAAAATCAAGAAAATTGATTGCATTACCAAAGGAAAAATTCAACATCAGAGATATTTCTCAAAAAGACTAGAATAGTATCATTATTGACATATTTTGAAAAATTACTTTCCTCAACATGTCTTTCAATGTGTATTACTGCTTCTATAAGGAAGAAAATTTTGAAAAACATGGAGAATTAAATAGATGATTTATTTACTTAAAACATTACTTTACTGGTGAGATTCCTTCATGGTCAGAGAAGAAGGAAAGCTTTTTATTGAAGTATTTTGAGAACTGAGAATATGAGAACAACTCTAATGATAACTATTACTGTTTAATAGACCATTTGATTAGAACTGATAGAACTAATAGTTAACCTGATAACCTGAATAGTTTATTATTTAGGTTATCTGATATAATATCGTCTATTATCAGGTTACCTGAATTATTTTTTAACCTAATAGTTCTTATTTTTTAGAAAAAGACTACCGCTGATATATCTGTTTTCCTTCCAAAGAGTTCTTCATCCTGCAGATATATCGTGCTCCTCCCTTGCATAGAAATTACTAGTTAAACTGATAGCCTGATTAAACTAATATGTATTTTTTTAAAGTGTACCACTGATAGGTCTATTTTCTTCTGAAGGATTCTGCGTTCTGGGGATACAGTTAGATATAGCTATTGAGGTATAGCTTAATAGTTAACCTGCTAACCTGATTGATCTATAGTTCTTATTTTTAAATAAAGAATACCACTGATACGCCTATTGTCTTCTAAAGGGTTCTTCATCCTGCAGATATATCGTGCTCCTCCCTTGCATAGAAATTAATAGTTAAACTGATAGCCTGATTAAACTAATATGTATTTTTTAAAGTGTACCACTGATAGTCTATTTTCTTCTGAAGGATTGTGCGTTCTGGGGATACAGTTAGATATAGCTATTGAGGTATAGCTTAATAGTTAACCTGCTAACCTGATTGATCTATAGTTCTTATTTTTTAAATAAAGAATACCACTGATACGCCTATTGTCTTCTAAAGGGTTCTTCATCCTGCAGATATATCGTGCTCCTCCCTTGCATAGAAATTAATAGTTAAACTGATAGCCTGATTAAACTAATAATTTTAACTTTTAAAAAGGTATACACCACTGATGTATCTATTTTCTTCCAAATAGTTCTTCTTCCTGGAGATATATCGTGTTCATCCCCTGCATAGAAACTAATCGTCAACCTGATAACCAGATTGAACTAATACTTTCTTTTTAAAGTCCATTGATACGACGAAAATAGATGTATAGCCCACTGATACGTCTATTTTCAGCCAACGGCCATACCATGCTGAATATACCGGTTCTCGTTAGATCACCGAAGTGAAGCATCATTGGGCGCGGTCAGTACTAGAGAGTGGGTGACCACCTGGGAACACCGCGTGCCGTTGGCATTCACAAATTTGGGACCTGAATGGCCGAGTGTCTAGCGCTCTGGCGCTCGGTGCCACAGGTTTCGGGTTCGAATCCCGGCGGGGCCATGGATGTTTGTAGTGGTTCGAATCCACTTTAAGCCGTAGGTCCCGGTCTCCTATGACTGTAAGAGCGTCACGGAGCCAAAGTCAGACTTCTACCTACGGGTGCTCCATCACAACAGAAGCTGCTTCCTTCCCCTTCAATCATGAGTTCGGAATCCACTTTAAGCCGTAGGTCCCGGTCTCTTATGACTGTAAGAGCGTCACGGAGCCAAAGTCAGACTTCTACCTACGGGTGCTCCATCACAACAGAAGCTGCTTCCTTCCCCTTCAATCATGAGTTCGGAATCCACTTTAAGCCAGGTCCCGGTCTCCTATGACTGTAAGAGCGTCACGGAGCCAAAGTCAGACTTCTACCTACGGGTGCTCCATCACAACAGAAGCTGCTTCCTTCCCCTTCAATCATGAGTACGTATGGGTTCGTGGGCTTGGCAAGCCAAGTGAAAACAAGTGCCAAGAAACAACAACAACAACATATGTCTATTTTCTTCTGAAAGGTTCTTCGTTCTGAGGATTTAGTTAGATATAACAATAGAGGTGTAAATTAATAGTTAACATAAACTGATTGAATTATAGTTGTTACTTTTTGAAAGCGAATACAACTGATATGTCTAATTTTTTTCCCAAAGGGTATTTCAAACGAGCAGATATATCCTGCTCATCCTCTGCCTAGGAAGGGAATTTTCTGTATTTGCCATGTTTTAAAACTACTCGGATTGCCCCCATGAAAGTCCCCTTTGGGACCCCTTCTGTCTGTTTCCCCTAAAATAGTAAGTTCAGTGTAAAAATACATTAATCTATTTGATTGTTGTTTCTGTGATTTTTGTAAGCAAATGTGTGCCTTTAAGTATTTATTTTGATTTTCTTTTAATAACAAGTAATATAAAAAAATTTTTTTAAAGTCAATTCCTACTTTTTTTTTTTCACTATATTGCAGAAAGTCCTTTATAAATAAATTTCATTCATTTTTTGAAGTTTATCTGGCGCCATCTATTGGTAGATATATGCAACTTAAATCTAAAAATAGCTAAAATTAATTTAATTAAATTTAATTAATGAATTAATATTTGAAAAAACTGTATTAACATCCTGTGTCATCCACTACAAGTTAAAAAAAAAAATATATTTGAACTTGAGTGAATAAATAAAAAGGATTTTATTAGCGATTGAAAATTTGAACAAGATATATATAGGGAGAGTGTGAGCTAATAGAAGGAATTGAAAAATATATTTATTTCAGAAAAAATATATGAAATAATTTGATATGATAAAAAAATCCTAACTTGTCCAACTAATAATTTAGAAGACAGGAAATTAAAAAAACAATACTGCAAGTCCCTTTGTGAATAAGTTTCTGAAATACTTTCAGATAATATTAATAACTAAACTCTTGAATCTAATTGAGTGCGAGTAAGGCTAATATTAGTGCTTGTACTTAAAAGACAAATAAAAAGAACAAACGATGTAATGGAGAGTAAGAACACGAAACAATACGTTCCCTGATGGAATCTAAATTATAGTTAATCTTAAAGCTATCTATTTATAGAAAAGTTAAGCTGGACTGAAAGCTAAAAATATAACAGGAATTCATAAAATATTCATCCTGAACTAGTTGATTAGAAATTTTGGAATTCTGTACTCCGTGAAACAGCCCAAGGAGAAAATGGTAATATCGCGTGGTACCAGAAAAAGCAATAATGAACGGAGAGGAGGAACTGAATTAGAATGGAGGAGCTTTTTACTGGAAAAAATTGTAGCTTGTTCTGCTTATAGGTTTAATGAAAATGAATGTTTTGGTTAAGCTTCAGCAAATGACCGTTTTATCATCCTGTTTTTCAAAAATGGATTCAAAAAAAGTTTAGGTATAATATTCAATAAAGTTTCTTAAAGTATTCTTTATTAATTAATTCTTTAAAGTTTACGTATAATATTCAACAAATAATTTTTGTTGCTGATTGATGATTTAAATTTTTGTTTTGGGTTTTGATAATTGATGATTTAAATTTTTGTTGTGGGTTTTGATGATTTAAATTTTTGTTGTGGATGATTGATATTGATTTTCATTTTTGATGTATTTCTGGTTGTTAAGCTTGAACAAATGACCATTTTATCATCCTGTTTTTCAAAAAGGGATGCAAAAAGTTTCTTTAAAGTTTAGGTATAACATTTAGCGAATAATTTTAGTTGCTAATTGATTATTTAAATTTTTTTGTTCTGGATTTTGATGACTTAAATTTTGTTGAGAATTTTGATGACTTAAATTTTGTTGAGAATTTTGATGATTTACGATTTAAATTTTTATTGTGGATTTTGATGATTGATGATTTAAATTTTTGTTGTGGATGGTGATCATTGATATGGATTTTCATTTTTCTCACTTAATAAATACATGTTTCACAAAATTAGTTAATTATTGTGAATTTTTAACGAAAACGAATGTTTTGATTGTTAAGCTTGAACAAATGATAATGTTACCATCCTGTTTTTCAAAAACCTGATGCAAAAATTTCATTTAAAGTTTAGGTATAATTTTTTTAAAGAATAGTTTTTATTCCTGATTGATGATTTAAATTTTTTGTTGTGAATTTTGATTATTGATGATTTATATTTTCGTTGTGGATTTTGGTGATTGAGGATTTAAATGTTTACTATGGGTTTTGATGATTGATATTGACTTCCATTTTTTCCTCATTTCACAACTACAAGTTTCAGTAAATTAGTTAATTATTGTGAAGATTTAATGAAAACGAATGTTTCTATTAAGCTTGAACAAATGACCATTTTACCATTCTATTTTTCAAATATGGATGCAAATATTTTCTTTAAAGTTTAGGTATAATATTCAATGAATAATTTTTGTTGCTGATTGATGATTTAAATTTTTGACGATAGATGATTTAAATTTTTGTTGTGGATTTTGATGATTTAAATTCTTTTTGTTGATTTTGATCATTGATATGGATTTTCATATTTTTTTTTCTTACTTAACAAATAGAAGTTTCACTAAAGTAATTAATTATTGTGTAGGTTTAACTAAAACAAATGTTTTGGTTGTGAAGTTTGAACAAATGAGCATTTCATCTTTCTGTTTTTTAAAAATTGGTGCAAAAAAAGTTTCAGTAAAGTTTAGGTATAAAATTCAACAAATAAATTTTGTTGCTTATTGAGGATTTAAATTTTTGTTGCGGGTTTTGATAATTCATGATTTAAATTTTTGTTGTGGATTTTGATGATTGATGATTTCAATTTTTGTTGGGGATTTTGTTGACTGTTATTGCTTTTGTGGATTTTGATGATTGATATAGATTTTGGGGATTTTGATGATTAATATTGATTTTCATTTTTTTTTTCTCACTTAACAAATACAAGTTTAACTAAATGAGTTAATTATTATGAAGTTTTAATGAAAACGAATGTTTTGGTTGTTAAGCTTTCTTGAACAAATGTCCATTGTATCACCCTGTTTTTTCAAAAAATGGACGCAAGTAATTTCTGTAAAGTTTAGGTATCATTTTCAACAATAATTTTTGTTAATGATTGATTATTTAAATTCTTTTGATGATTCATGATTAAAATTTTTTTTTTTATGGATTTTGAACATTTATATTGATTTTCATGATCATTTGAAGTCATATTGGAACATTCTAAACTGTTTTTTTAATATTAAATACATTTTCTATGGTTTTTCTAATTAATTTTATTATATATTAATTTTAATATAATTTTATTATATATGTCTATAAATTAAAGAAAAATAATTCTTTAAAAAAATAAGTGATGTTCTCATGCGTTTAAATTTGATCTGATTGTTTTGATAAAGTACAAGAAATATAACCCTTAAACACCAAATTTACTAGTTGATAGGAAACAAGTCATTATTAGATGTTAGGTATAATTTGCTTGTAAAGTTTGGTTGTGTAAGTGATTGTTCATTAGTGGGAAAACATGAATCCAATCATAATATAAAACAAATATTAAAAAAAAAACTGAAAAAGAAATTAATATAGTATTTCTCGAAATCAAGTCATTAAATACAGTAACTGTTATAGTTAATGGTAACAGTAACTTCACTATATTATACATTATTATTAAAAACTACTCTTGTTTCATGAAGTCAGTATTACTCATCTTTTTAATGATTTTGAAAAAGGCTATTTTTTAATATCATTAGACGGGAATTGAAAGTCGTTATCTTAAATAATGATTATAATATTATTGTGTTTCAACGAACCTGATTTGCTCAATTAAAAAGAAATAAGTCTTGCCTCACAAAAATAAAAGGATTGTGAAAGAATCATTAAAATCAATTTATGGGGAGATTTAGCTTTTGTTTTTAGTGGAAACACTAAAAACCTATGATATCTGTTAACAATTATTTGCGCAATTTAATAAAATGGTTAAAATACAACGCAGTGGGATCTTAATTATTTCGTATCTGAATTTCATATAGAATTTCTAAAACACATTGAAGGTCTTAATTTTTTTCTTGCTTTGATGATAATTTTTTTTCTGTTTACTAATAATTAATTTATTTAATTTATTTTTCCTTCAAGGCATTTATAATAAATGTTTTCAAGAATCTGCTTATCGTTTTAATAAATTAATACAATATTTAATATATGACTCATTTTTTTTTTAAACATTTTAAGGAAAACTGACTATCCTGTGTGACACATGTTAAGACAATAAAAAATTACATCTTCAGTTATTCCAGTGAACTAAAACGGAATGAAATGCTTTGATATTTATTAGATTTTTAATTGACTTCATTGTGAAGAGTTCTAAACTGAAATTCGATATTTCTTTTTTGAGAAATTAATTCGACTATAATTTTCATTAAAAATATGACATCCGATTAAGTTTAGCATAGTAATTTCATATCTACTTTATATATATATATATACATATATATATA